GCCGGACATGGGTAAATATGGTACACCTCCTTCATATGCTCTATGGGGTTGCTTTGAATAAGCCAACTGTCAGGATTTATATTGACTAGACTTCCAGAGAGTATGTCTATGTCTATTCCGTCTTTTTAAGCCTTATGAAGAATTATATTTAGTTCCTAGACTTATCCCCGGTCCGTGCTTCCCTAGTCCATAATCTATTTTTGTGTTTGATCCACCCCGTTCCACTATTTGTAATTGTCTGGCAGTGACCATTGTGTCTTGTACTCTATGATTGAAGATAACAATATAATGTCATTTTCACGCAACCTGTGTTTGTTCATCTTTGACTCCTAGTATAGTAGTTTGTGAAAACATCCTTTGGGACACTAGTGTGGAAGTTTGGTTTGCCTAAAGCTACGTTTCTGTCTGCTATTTTTATGTTACGGTACGGGAACTAAGTCAGCAGTTCACCAGTATACTGCGAGGGGTCAGGCCGCCGTAACATAAATTGGGGGAGGCCGCCGTAACAGTACTCAATAATGGATCCCCAAGACCAACCAAATCCTCATACTTATCTGATGCCTCCATGGTCGGAGGTGCAGGGTATATGACCAGCTCGGACACACACCCGCCCACAACGGCCATTACTAAACAGGTTGCTGAAAGAATCTCCATGGCGTTTGTCGGTGACTTAACTAAGATGAATGGCTACCTAGAATATTATTTATCAGAAGCAGGATCATAGCAGATATCCTATATCTCTAATCACTGTGGCCTAGACGACGGGTGTTCCATCTGACAAATACCTTTCTGTTTATCTATGTATACAAGATAACGTATACAGAGTGTGTCTCAGGTTACATTTCTCTATGTCATAACATATTGTTGCATTGCAGATAAAGAATAGTATTGACAGGTGTTCCAATAAACTCTCTCGAAACATGGTTGTATATGAAGCCTCAACGACTAAACCATACATGGGCATGTGCACCAGCTGTCATCCAATTAACGCTGCATATGAACAGGAATTTCTGCTTTTCCACTCAATGTGCAAAAATCAAAGTTCAATGTAAATCAATGCAAAACACATGAACACATACAATACTGTTGTATCTATACGCGTAAAAGGCAGACAGGCCCATACACCTCTTCAAACCTAACAAACAATAACATTGGGGCCATGCCAGCATCAAAGTCACGTGATTCACTAGCATGCTACCCATACAGAACACGCTATCCACAGAAATAATATATCTGTCCCAGATGTTGGAATGCACGTCTTGTATGGGCTCATGTACTCGTTATCCGATCCTGTACATATCAATCGACTTGATAAAAGATTCATTATCAGGTAGCCATTCATCTTAGCGAAGTCACCGACAAACGCCATGGAGATTCTTTCAGCGATCTGTTTAGTAATGGCCGTTGTGGGCGGGTGTGTGTCCGAGCTGGTCATATACCCTGCACCTCCGACCATGGAGGCATCAGATAAGTATGAGGTTTTGGTTGGTCTTGGGGATCCATTATTGAGTACCTTCACTTACCAGACGACCTCGAACCACAGACATGCCGAGATTCCCTATGTCCATCCCAACCGCTCTGTGTCCTGGTCGTCTTTTGCGTTCAGTGGTGGTCCAGTAGTGGTTGAGGTCAGAACGCTGACCGACTTCAGTCAGTGTCTGGTTCGTCCAGCAAGTTACGGATACGCTTGTAGTAGGGTCGGGATCAATACGGCAAGGTTTACAGTGACTCGGAATTCTAGCATGATGTCTGTAGAGTTTGATAATGACTACGGCAGTTGGAAGTCCGAAATAGTCGACAAGTTGCTGATATTTGCTGATCCCCTGAAGAGAGATGTTCCCTCTAACAGTGACCCTTCCGTTTTGTTCTTTGATGTCGGTGTGCATTATCTTGGAAGTCAAGTCAGTTTAAACTCCAGCATTAAAGAAGTTTACATCAGTGCCGGAGCTTTTGTCGATGGAGGGTTCATCACCGAGGACAACACAACGGTCAAGATCCATGGAAGAGGAATCTGTTCAGGCCGAAAGTACAAATTCCATGACAAACGATTTCAATGGTCGTTGATCAACACTGCACGAGGCACCAATCACACAATTGAAGGTATCACGTTAAGCGACCCCCAGCAGTTTTTCATATTCGCTTAAAGTCCAAACAACATAATCAAACAGGTTAAGATGGTGGGTGCCTGGCCATACAATAGCGACGGCATTGAGATGGGAGTAGGAGGCGTAGTGGAGGACGTCTTTATCATGGCCAATGATGACTCACTCAAGGTAATGTAACACTTTGACATCTAACAACTCTGTGTGTTTTGCATAATTATGGTTACAGATTAATTATCAGTTATCAATCCGTCAGTTGTGTCGAAGTATAATCCAGGATAATCAGCATAATGTTGGTAAATGTGTATGGACATGAAAATGAATTCCCGCGCAGAAGAAACCCTTAAACTCCAGGTATGTAGATGATATTACGTACCACGGTAATGGTCAGATATCCCATTACGTTTCAGGTGTACAACAATGATATGACGATACAGAGAGTGGTCATCTGGCAAATGCAAAATGGTGCCGTTTTCCAAACAGGCTGGTGGGCTGAACGTGACCTTCACAGAGTGAAAGTCACCAATATTGACGTGATTTACATGGACTGGTGTACTTTCCGCGGCCCGGAATGTGACATGTTAAGTAGAAATGATGCAGTGTTCAATCTGGCTGGAAACGTCAAAGTCATCAACATGAGTGATGTAGTATTTCAAAACATTCGTCTGGAAGGTTTGTGTCCTCGTTTTGTTTTCTGGACAATGCCGGCAGGGACACGTGGTACTTCCTCCAACGTCCGGTTTATAGATGTCTCAGTTGGATCACAGCCAAGTACTGGCCAACTCAGGAATGAAATAGCAGGCAATAAACCCAACGGATATGTGACTGATTGGCTATTTTCTAATTTGTCTGTAAGCGGACGCTGTATTTCAACCTCCGGCGCAGGGAGATTCATAATTGATAATTCTACCACATCCAATATTACATTTTCGTGTTAGGTATGCTACAAAGAGATCTAAATGACTGAAAGAAATTTAAAGAATCCGAGGGTAATACAAAGGCTTGAGACGTGTTTCTGAGTTGCTGAGTTTCCGCATATCATTTAATTTCAATGCTGCAATGAATTTTGTTATTTACGCAGGTCGTTGGCCTTTATGTGGAAATATATCATTATTGCTCCTCTTCGTTTTTTTTCATATCATTATCATTATCATATATTTGATAACTGAATTTGAACACCCTCATAGTAACCCTTTCCCTTTTGTATTCTGAAGTAGATGTTTTCAGGAACGTGTTCCTCCTGAGGTACTTACTCGTTGCAAAAACAAATGAAGTGCATGAAGAATGGAAACAACTGATGATGCATTTGACAGCCTATAGTAAATGATACTACTAATCAGGTTGTCCTAGTATACACAATCTTTCCAGTAAAAGTCAAACATAAAGAAAAAAATGTTACTTGTGAGACCCTTGTCCATGTTTTGGGTATTACTTGTTACACTTTCGTCGAAAACGTAAATTCAAGACAACATCAGTTTCCGAGTTGTAGGAATGTGTCGATTTACGACGTGCGTGTGAGTGAGTGTGACAAATATTTGAGCTAATTCAGGGTGAACAGTTTGACAAATGGCTGATTGAATGAAGAACGATCTAACCCAACCTCGTGTTGTCATACCCGTCAAACATCATCCACAGTACATGGCGACAAGTGTGGGTTCTGAACAGAGCAATCCTCTCGAACAAATATTATAAAGCGTGTTTTAAAACATAGAATATATTTCCAGCGACTATCATCCAATGATATGACCAGTACCACATGCAAAGTTGATTCTGTTTGTTGTGTGGGTGTCAACAGAAAAGTGTCCCGCTCCCGCGTCACTGATACAATGGCCGCCATACCGGAGATTGACAAACTCCCAGTTCTGGACATGAGCTCCGCTGTGCCTGCTATATCGTTATGCATGCTCCTTGACACGGATTCGACATTGATGTTCTCGAAACGCAGATTGCTAACTTTTCCCACAGCTCCATTGTAGAGTTTCCATTCCACCAGTCTCGGACATTCTCCCTCGATTCTGATGTCCTTCAGAATGATGTCATGGACCTCAAACTCATGGGTGTGGCCGGACACCGTGAAGACGGCGGCATTAGGCTGAAGGTGACAGTTATCTCCCTTGGTAAGCGCACCAGTCCATGTGTATGATGTCTACGTCGGAGACACGGATACCATGAACTTTCCTGGCCGTCCACCAACCCATCTGGAAGATGGCACCGAACTGCATCTGCCACACCACTGTTCGTCTGATGGTCAAGCCCGTATGGAACAGCTGCAATGGATGATGCTCTGGTAATACAGTAACTCATCTCAAATCTAAAATAGACAAAATTGTTAACACTGCAAGTAAAATCACTGGAGTCAGATTTGAATGTTTATCATCAATATATGAGCGGCAAATCGTGAATCAAGCTGTCAAAATCATATCTGACGGTACTCACTACTTAAATTCGGAATACAACCTTCTCCCTTCAGGCCGCCGCTACAAAGTTCCAATTGTGAAAACTAAGAGAGCCCGTACATCCTTTATTCCAAGTACCATATCTCTCTTAAACCAATGTGAAGATGCCTAAATCAAAGAATTTATGTAAATATGTTTGGTATCTCTCTAATGTGCCAGTAGCTCTGGTGATGTAACACAAATTCCTGAAAAGGCATTAAAGTATTATTCTATTCTATTCTACATTGTTATGAAATACATTGGTATCAACAATACTGCTTAACAATTTAGATAATCATGGTTCATTACCTTTCAATGATTCCGATCATTTAGTGACATATGGTTTATCTGTAACTTGTGCTGTAACTTATACACATACCTTGATTGAGTCATCATTCGCCATAACGAAACTGTCCTCCACTAAGCCGTCCTCGCCAACGTCAAATCCGTCAGAGTTGATGGTTCAGCCTGCTACAAATTTGACGTTTCTGACAACGTTGCTGTTTCCAGAACTAACGTAGTAATATTCTTCAGGGTCAACAACAGTGATGCCTTCCAGTGTGTGATGATCACCTTTTTTCATATTAACCAGAGCCCATTGGAAGTCTGGATCGTGAAACTTGTACATTGCGCCTGATAGGACTCCTCTCCCATGTATTTTTACTCCCTGGTTTCCCGTTGTCCTGAAACCACCTTGGACATAAGCTCCAGGTGCCAGATAGACTTCCTTGATGTGCCCATCCAGAACCTTCTGGCCATGGAGGTTGTGCACGCCTACATCGTAGTACAGAACCGACGGGTCATGCCTGGATGGGATGGATGTTTCTGGTGGGTCAGCGAAAACCAACAGTTTGTCCTTTATGTCGGCCTCGTTGCTTCCATAGTCGTAGTCAAACTCCACAGACATTAACTTCGTGTTTGCTGTTACAGTGAATAGGGCAACCTTATTTCCTGCTCGGTGACACTTGAAGCCATAACTCTTTGGTCGAATGAGACAGTTGCGGAAGTCCTTCTGGGTGTGCACTTCAACAGCGACGGCGGATCCAGAAAAAGAAAACGACGTCCACGACACAGATCGTCCTGGCTCGATCTTCAGTAACTTCCCCGAATACTGGACCCTGCTGTCGGAAGTGGAGATGTACGTGAAGCTCCGTTCTTTGGCACCACCTTGACTGACGTAAATGTTGAACTTGTCAGACGCCTTCTGTCCTTGTGGATGGGGATAGACGGTCAGGTCGCAGGCCACAAGGGGAACGCAGATCACTAACGTTAAGAAAAGCGATGCCATTGTGGCGATTGTCGGCCCAACACTAGATGTAAGTATCCTAGTTTATACAGCCTACTGACCTCTTTGACTATATATCAGATAAGCCATGTTTGTTCCAAGTGTTATGGCGAACAAATGGCACTGTTATATATATTCGTTTACTGGAAATTCGATAGGGTCGTTTGCTTCAATCATAATTACTGTTTTCATCTTAAGACAAAATATAGATATTTTTCACTTCAGTTTAATTATGCTATCGGACAGGAAGACCGTAGAGGACTTGTTTTCTTGTTGGCAGACTTATGGGACCATGACTATGATTATATCCGATTTGGAATCACGTGTTGCAAAACATGTTTCTAAACAAATGAGTAAATATAGAACGTCAGCTACAGAGAATGTTCCGTATCGTTGATCCGCCTAAACAACATACATGTAGTCGCAGAAACTCAGGATAACAGGAGTCATTGAACTAAACCCTGGAGACGATGAGGCTGTAGACAGAGTTGTTCTGGACGTTCTAAGGGATGTTCACGGTTTTAAAAACGGTCGCAGATATAGACAGTTGTCATAGCATTGGGTAGAAGTAACCAGGCCAAGTCCAAAGCAGGGTGGTTGAGTTTGTCAGCTACAGGGACAAGAACAAGGCAATGCAAAACAAACGAAAACTAGGCACTGTCCCTTTATTCTAAGATTTCCTCCCCCAGCACTATTCAAAGCTGGTGAAGTAAACCGGAAAATATTAAAGGTACGCTTGAATTACTCTGTATATCTTTATTTGTTTCTCTCAGTATACATGTATATACAAGGATTCAGTATTTAAGAAACATATAGAACTAGAAAACATCTATGACGACACCTTTTGTACAACGGTATTTCTTCCTAAAACATCTCTATTTATATGTTCAGCCTAGAGAAAGTAGCCAAGTAAATTGTTGGAGTAGATTTGACAACAGTACTGAATCGGCTTTAGATATTTCTTGTTAGCAATTGTTGATGATTTAACTGAAAATTGACTTTCTCAAAGAACTCTTCATGTAACCGATATCATCGCTGGAAAGACTCAGCGTAACGTCCTAAAAGAACCCACCAGAGTCACACAAACTGCAAGTACACTTTAGATCCAGGTATAATTAGTGAGGATATAAATGTCAGAAAGTGGTGTGATAGAATTTGATAAAACAATAAGCGATCATAAGTGGACATATTACCATAGATGTAGACATTTCAATGTCGACTCTTAAAGGCAAGTCTTGTGATGGTATTTAAAACAAGCTGAACGCACCTATAGGAAGTACAGTTTAGTTTTCCTTGTTTTACGATTGTAATAATGTGGATGAACCATGTGATGCGTTTACGAACGCTTCGATGATGAGATAAATGTAGAGTCTATGTACCGTCTAAAACTGTGTCTGAAAGAGTGAGTGAGTGAGTGAGTTTAGTTTTACGCAATATTCCAGCTATATGGCGGCGGTCTGTAAATAATCCATCCTGGACCAGAAAATCCAGTGATCAGCAGCATGAGCATCGATCTGCGCAATTAGGAACCGATGACATGTGTCAACTAAGTCAGCGAGCCTGACCACCCGATCCCCGTAAGTCGCCTCTTACGACAAGCATGGGGTGTCTGTAAGACTTAATGACAAACTATGTAATGGTATAACTGCAATATCAGACGCGAATGTAGGAAAAGGGCCAAATTATCAAAGAAAGAAATCGATTTACTTACAAACAGAAAACAGCGTGACAACGTTGGTTACATGACAAGTTTTCAAACCTTGATGAATATATTTTTTTAACTTTATGCTGTTATAAAATCTTTATATTGGAAATTGGTTCGCAATATCGTAAATGATTATGGCACGCCGAACAGATTTTTATACTCTTAAACGGGTTGGAAACTGCTTTCAGAACGCAGGACGAAATGTAAGCTGTGTTTATTTGATATCATGATATCGCTTCTTCATTTTCGAAAGATTTATATTATCTGACACGGTTTAACTTACGCAACTCGAGTAATCTCTCTTAACCATCTACAACATTAAGGCATTCAATTGATTCTTTTTTTTTTCCTTCAACAATTAAATTGTGAACCAGTCTACCATTAGATGTGGGGAAACTTGAATCTGCTTCAGCATTTAAGGCTCAAATACGATTGATTAAAAACTCTGTGCCTCTTTACTTTTCCTATGGTATTAGAAAATTACAACTGGTCCGGTATGTCAGTATGAGAATGATGAACATTTATCTTTCATAATTTCCACTGTAATTCCACAGAGAGATGCTGTGTTTGCTGGTTTAAATAATATTTTACATAATAGAATACCCTTGCCCCGATGTCATTTAACATAGCAATGCAGGTCCCTCCATCAGTGAGAATCAGAATATGTTCAAATCAGGGGTCGATTTAAGGAAATGAAGTCTACTTGTACCCAGTGCAACCTAAGGAAATCACCTTGTTGCACCAAACAAAACCAGGTTGCACCTGCTGCTTAATAATCATAAAATCTTATATAATGCTTGAGTTTTGGTAAAGCCGCTTTAGAACAGTATTATAACAATAGGAATATGTAGTTATCTTACTTCCCAAACTTTCATGAACAGCAAGTCCTTCAGTCACTGTCCTACAATAATCAGAGTCACTGTTCCAAGTCAGTTCCTCATCATTCTGTTTTCCACCTGAAGTCTGTGTTCTTTGAACACAAAATATTAACATGCACTTGGCGCAGGTTGATATACATAAGATGTTGCATTTAGTAGTTTCAGGTCGCGCCAGTGCAAGTTCTAAATGCTTAAATCGAGCCCTGTTTCAAATGTATCCAAATGTATGTAAACGACAATAAAACTAAACGATTTCTCAGATTGTAATTTCATAGCAAAGTATTACTTTTATTGTTTACTCTCTCCTTTTTTCCATTTTCACACATTCTGTTTATCTATAATGAAAATATACGTATGTAACTGCTCTGAAAGGAAAAGCTTTTTCTAAGTTGGACAACTTGTGTCCAATAGTTTTGTTTCATGAATAGGATATGTTTAAACCGAAACAATAAATTCCACATACGATGCAGTCGTACCATATGTTTTAGAAATAGACACAGTTCCAATTATCCAACACATATTACATAATACTTGATATTCGGGGTTTTATCTCTATAGAAGGTAGGCACTTATCTTAGTGGAACAAGGTTATGGTGGTTCTGATTAGACGGGATGGTCACGTGCGTCACCAACTACATATGTAAGTTTTGTTGTCAAAGTCGGCAGTTCCCGCCACAGCATGGTCGGTCTCTGTGTTCTGGTCGTTCTCGTCACCCTCGCCTACGAGGCAGTTGGAAACGTCATTGTGTACCCACATGCCAAGGGTCCGGCGGCTTCCAACAAATTCAAGGTGTATGTGAGTCAAGGCGGAAGGAAACATGAGAGTTTCACGTACATCAGCACATCCGACCAACGTTCCCACGAAGCATCCCATGTCCACCCAGGACGGTCGATGTCCTTCACGTCATTTGCCTTCACTGGTGGTTCTGTGACGGTGGAAGTTCACACCCAGCGCAACTTCCACAACTGCATCGTCAGACCCAAGAGCTACAACTACCACTGCCGCAGAACGGGAACCAAGGTTGCCCAATTCACCGTGTCAAACACCAAAAAGTGGATGTCCGTAGAATTTGACTACGACTACGGCAGCAGTAACGGAGGCCCCGACATAACTGACAGACTACTTGTGTTCGCAGATCCACCCGAGACACACAAACCAAACAAGAACGACAACTCTGTTCTGTATTATGACGTAGGGCTTCACAACCTGAACGGTCAGAAACAACTGGATTCACACGTAAAAGAAGTATACTTAGCACCAGGAGCATATGTTCAGGGTGGATTCAAGACCACTGGGAACCAGCCAGTGAAAATCTATGGCAGAGGAATAGTCTCTACTTCTATATACAAGTGGCACGATTCAAGGTTTGAATGGTCAATAATCAACATGGACAAGGGACATTCTCACGTAGTTGAGGGGATCATTATGGTGGATCCTGAGGAATACTTCTACCGTGGACTGAGCGATCACAATACGGTGCGTTATGTGAAGATGGTTGGATCGTGGGCCTTCAACTCCGATGGTGTTGGTATTGGACATGATGGACTGGTGGAGGACTGCTTCATCTCTGCAAACGATGATGCACTGAAGGTTTGGGATTTGTTATTCAGACATTTGTTTGATGTTAGAGTTGAACGCTGAATTGTACATGACTCAAATAGTGTCCTAGTATCAAATTAAAATGACGTACAAAAGAAAGTACACACCTGGTGCTTTTGGATTACTTTCTAAAGAACGACGTAAATGTTTTGAAAAGAGTTTTTACACTTATATATGTCATAGACTTTCCTAATATGTTGCCAAAACACCACAGATATCATGCCCAATTGCGAAGTTGCCAGTCAAAATCACAACACTTTTCAAACAATCCCAAAACACCAGATGTGTACTTTCTTTTGTACGTCATTATAGAAAGGTCTTATGAACATGCGCTGTGAATATACAATGCCATTTAGAAAGTGGTCAAATGTAAAACGTTATATTTGGGATTTAAACTTTCTCAGTAAAAGTATAGCTTCTAGTACTTTTGTTAGGTTCAGTCCCATCCGGGATTAGAACCCACACTCTCAGAGTCAGGCACGTAATTATGGAATCCTGGAAGGGACATTGTCGCGTTGTCGCATTGTCGCGTTGTCGCCCTCTCAAATACAAGCAAAAATTAACCAAACGCGACACGCCGATAACGCTGACATTTAAATCGCCCCATTTGTCGCATTGTCGGCGATGTCGCTTTGAATAATATTATTTTTATTCCTCCAAAGGGCGACACGCGACATAGCTTACATTAATTTTCTTTAGGTCAAATAGGTCGCGTTGTCGGCGCTTCGTGTTTTAGTGAATTGTTAGGCTTCTTTTCACACATCTTAGATAGGGCAGGACGTTAGCGACAACGCGTTTACATATTTTGACCTTGAAAATTGTCGCTATGTTGTCCCCTTTGGAGTTAATAGAAAAGTATTATTCAAAACGCTAACAACGACATCGCCGACAATCGCCACAAATGGGCGAAATGTCACTTTTCGTATCTGATGTCGCTGCAAGGTCGCGCTTTTGGTTTATTTTGCCTCACTTTACTTGTTTTGAGAGGGCGACAATGCGACATAGCTGAATAATGTCCCCTTCTCGGATTCCATACGTAATCACCATCATTACACAAAGTCAGCCAACTCAGCCACCACGGCTCCCACCAAAAAGTCGGACAACTGGTAATCTTGATCACGAACTTTGTCTACCCGTCTGACAAGTGTAAAGTTACACGGTTCCTACACACAAGCATGAATACGCAATGCTATTTAGAAATATACGTTATTCAGGTATTTAGACACAGATAGATGGTAGAGAACTGTGAGGAACGTTTACACAACAGTAAATAACTCGTCTCTAACAATGACTGGTTAAGTCTCCTTTGTTGTATGGATGAGCAAGGTTTTACGTGGAACACTACTGACGGATGAATAGGGTTCAGGGAACAGTTCCCAGACATGATGAGATGATTCCAAGGAAAAGCACTGTCCGGATGAACAGCCTTCGATGCATTCTTTCAATTACAGCCTATAAACACATGTAATATAGAACACTGTAAATGTTACTTCCCATTTGAGTAATGTATAAACAAAACTGGAACGTGTTTGTTATGTTTAGGTATACACGGACAATATGGTGGCGCAGAGGGTGGTCATCTGGCAGATGCAGAACGGAGCTGTCTTCCAGAACGGCTGGTGGAGCGGCAGAGACATGAAGAAGGTCAGAATCAGCGACATCGACGTCATTCACACCGACTGGTGCACTTTCAAAGGTTCCAACTGCCAGATCAGCGACAACGATGCAGCTTTTTGATCTCGCTGGTGACACAAAGCATTTTGCCATGAAAGGTGATGCCTTCATCTTTACCAACATTAGAGTAGAAGGGTCTTGTCCGCGTATCGTGTACTGGAAGATGGCAAACGGGGCATCGGGTACGGCTTCCAACGTCCGCATCGTCAACTTGTCAGTGGAGTCGCAACCTGGCCACGACAGCCTCCACAACGAGATTGCAGGGAATTCTGGAGGAAGGGTCACCAACTGGCAGTTCAACAACTTTAAGATTGGCGGTAAATTCATCTCCAACCCAGGCCAGGCAGACTTTCACATCGATGCCCACACTACCAGCAATATCCAGTTTCATTGTGGAGGATCTATCATAGGATAAATCTCAGAAACAATGGCTTCAATGCATTTTGTTACATTAAAGACCTCATTAAAGCTTCTTAAAAGTGTTAAGTTCGATGATATCTCGAAAATTATGCATCAGTGAAAAATATAATGTCGGATGCAGGTCTCTATCCATACCTCGATCAAATGTTCCAGAGGTGTTTCGTACTGTTGCAACCCGTGGGGCAGGATACACTACTCACTCTTTTGCAAATACTTAACACACTATTTGATAGTGATTCATAGACACATGTATCAAACAATTCTGTCTGGCGTCCAAAATCACACGCATAACTCAGAACTGTTAAGCTCTAGAAGGCACACTGTTAGCAGAACATATATAATTAAAGTGGTGCACTCTAAACAGGACATATCTTCAAGCAAGTTTTCAATTTTGGAAATTACTTCTGCGTATATTCGAGATGTGCAGCGAGTGAGAGGAGTTTTCACGCAGCTTTTGAATAACACTTTTGTTTTTTGTCAGCTCAATGAAAACCCGAAGTGATTCAGGTCTCACAGCTTTGGAGTAGTATGGTGACCGCACATTTCCGAGGTGACGTAACGTGACGCAACCTCGAAAATATACGGCCACACTGACGTCATACACGTATGACGTCACGACGATTGGTCTCGTGACGTCACGATCTACAAACGAAGGTAGTGACGTCACTTGATGGTGACGCAACCTCGAAAATATACGGCCACACTGACGCTTGGTCTCGTGACGTCACGATCTACAAACGAAGGTAGGACGTCACTTGATGGTGACGCAACCTCAAAAATATACTACCACACAGGTAGTGACGTCACTTGATGGTGACGCAACCTCAAAAATATACTACCACACAGGTAGTGACGTCACTTGATGGTCTTGATGGTGACGCAACCTCAAAAATATACTATCACACTGACGTCACGCCCTACAACGACGGTATTGACGTCACGTGGTCATTGAACCGTCACAAATAAGGGTAATGGTCGTCTAGTACGTGTTCGTGCATGTACGTGTGTGTTTGTGTGTGTGTGTGTGCGCGCGTGCGTGCGCACGTGTGACATAATGCTCTCTTCTTCCTTTCCACACTCCCACAATTCGCGAATCAGCACCAACTAAATGTGTACGATATCCAAAAAACATTTAATACAGGTATATACAACATATAACACAATATAATACAATATATACATACAATTTCATACATTTCACAAAATGAGGCGACCTCTCCGGTTGCGCACACGGATACGGCGAGTGGGTGTCTCGCCGTTCCTGTGCACGTCTGCAACCACTGTCACCGTATTTTCAGAGGGGTGGTGACGGTTATGAGAGGCCTCCTCAAAATTAGTGAAAGTTCCTCCATCGCCGTCGTCTTACGACAGCTGCTGGGCGTGTTCCTCTTCCTCTTCGTCGTCGTCATCGATGAAGAGAGGGAGGTACCGATGTCGGGTGGGAGGGTAAAAAGAGGTGTTGTCATCATATACAAGAGGTCCCTGAGGGCTGAGGGCTCCATCTTCATCATCTTCTTCCACCTTCTCTGTTGGTATGTCCTCACAATAGGGGTAGCCACCCCAAGGTCCCTCCTTTCACCCCCATCCACACTACGAGCAATGTTTCTATATTGTATGCTGAACATCACTATCCCGTAGTCTGCCCTTGCCGTGCCAACATCAGATGTCTTCGACACACTTAGCACACCTCTCTACGGGGATCACCAGGCATCTTCGGTGGTCCAGTCATCTGTCGTAGGTTGTTCCTTTTGACCTTCTTAGCGGCGGGGTGACATCTACCGCGCACATGACCGGTAGTGGCCACTCCCTCCACACTTTGTAACATGTGGCGTCGGACATTGGGAGCCAGTGACCAGAGTCCCCACACCTATAGCAATGACCATAAGAAGGAGTAGTCGTGGCAGTCGGTGTAGGAGTCGTGGCAGTACGGCGTGACGGCGTGGGAAGGTGGGTGGTGATCACGGAGGAAGAGGACATGTTGAAGGACGGGCAGTTATCCTCCTGTAATGGCACACTCTGTTGGCAGATGGTGCCTGGCATGGGGCAATCGTTTCCCCAGTGCCCCTGCCCCCCACACCTGTTTCCACACACCGCCAATGGACAGTTCTTAAACACGTGGTCATTTTTCTGGGGACACTTCCAGCAGTATAGCATGGTTGTTTGAGCAGCATCACACATCTTGCTTGAATCCATGGTAGTAGTAGTAGTAGTGGTAGTTGTAATAGCCGTGGTGGTAGTAGCAGTAGTAGTAGTAGCGGAGAGCTGGTCAGGAGTACGTCTTACTGTATGGCGAGCAGTAGTCAGTATGATTTGACAGTGGTCAAGCGAATGGTCATATACACCCCAAAGGGTAATTGAGCGCGTCCGCGTTGTAGACATGATCATACACGTCCGACACGCGCAGCAGGAACACGAAAATCGCCTCTATTATCTTACGCACCATATGTCCACGGTTTGTCGTATTCCTACTCATGGGTCCTAACCACTCCTTATTACACAATCGTTTTGACCACGCGTGTGTCAAGCTCGAAAATAGCCTCGTGCTACGCATGCGTCGTTAATCGCCTAACTGCTCTAATCGTCCCTATTATACGCAATCGTGGAGTGTCCACCCCGTCGTCTCTATATCCGTTTCCTTCAAAATAATCCCCAACGCCGTTAATGCCGGTCTAGATTGCTCTAATCGGCCTATTATACGCTTAGCCGCTAGTGTCCACCCTTCGTCTCTTCACCCTTCGAGCATAATAATGTCCCCTGTCATACACAACCGCGTGTGTGAAAGCCTTCAAAATAGCCCCTACATGCATCGTTAATCGGGCTTCTAACTGCTCTAATCGCCCCTATTATAATGCTAATCGGAGTGTCCACCCCGTCGTCTCTATATCCGTTTCCTTCTGAAAATAATCCCTAATGCGTGTTAATCGGGTCTAGTTGCTCTAATCGATGGCCCTATTATCATGCACTTAATCGTCGTCTCTACACCCTTACCTCAGCTTCGAAAATAATCCCTACGTGCATCGTTAATCGGTCTAGTTGCTCTAATCGACCCTATTATACACAGCCGATAGTGTCCACCCTCTTCGTCTCTTCACCCTCCTTCAGTAGTAATGTCGTCCCTGTCATACACAACTCACGGTAATGACCACCCGTAAACCAAACAACCTTCTCTCTCTCTCTCGCTTTATCACAAAATGGTATTGCGACAACATTCTCATCATGCATGGTTGTGAGGAAGACTCCCGTGAAAACGAACTAGTAAGAAATACGAACATGTCTCTTTATAGAACATTCCGAGGGATGACATACTTCTATATTTCGTCGCAGATGATGAGGAATTCCAACGCCTCAGCAGTGACATACGCCGACAGTCCGGGACAGGGCAGCCTTTGCGCAGCAACACGACGACGGCGACATCATCGGGGTCGTAGAGGAAGGGTTGCCGTGTCATTCTCCCCGCATAACGACGGATCACAACGAGGTTATCGAGGAAGAAAATGGATGAGCATGACTACTCGCCAATGTACAAATTTTCCTCAGAGAACTTCGACCGGATGAATAGTCAGAGATATAGGGTGTCACAACATCGTTTACCTCTTCGGTTTTGCCAACAATTTCTGGAGAGAGTACAGAGCAGGTGGATGCGAAGACAACCTGTCACGCGGGTTCGACTCCCTCGTGGCTCATTTGGGAAACTCGGAGAAGCAAGTGTATAAAAACAACATAAGCTCTATACATTTACAGTGTGGTAACTAATAATTTTAACATTGCTTGTCTTTTCAAAGCTGACATAAGCGCATTCTTGATGCCATTATATTTTCTTTTTACTTTTTCCCCTAGATATAAGCCCTCAGGATATCGTCACCCTGTATATCCATCATCACGCTCGCCAACGCCCCGTACGCCATACCGCTCTCGGTCATTGTGGGTTTGAAGAACTCACGGGTGACATCATATTGGCGTAGGTATGGAACACGCGTCTAGTCTAACACATCTTTTACGTTTGACAGTACCTGCCATGACCGTAAGGTTACATAGTGAGGAATCCCGCTGTAGGTAGAGTAATGGTCGATTGACTAAGAAAGAGCTAATCACGCTGGAGGCTTTTAACCGATAAAACCACTAGGGGTGGTTGTCTTACTAAAATAGAGAACAGCCGACATAATTTATGTCTGGGTCGGGCTATTGCTGTAGCCCTATATTTTCTAAAGCATGCTTCCCAACCACGGGATGTGTCCAAGAAGAGCATGAACAGCGATATACAGAGCGTGAAGCGTTCCTGAGAGATCTTGGCGGGTGTACAAGCGATAGCCACGCATGAATTGTACGAGGCGGCGGGTCCTCCGCCTGGGGCGATGTAATGAAGGTCGTCCCTGGGAGGCCTTCCAAACATGTCTAAGGAATGAGGCGCTGCAGATAAAATACACCATTACACCCGGTAATGGTGCTTCTATCTTGTACGCTCACACACTCCTCTTGTCGCGGCGAAACACATCCCTGTATCGATATTTTCTGGTGGCCTGCTAAGCACTCCAGAGGTGGACGGCATGGTCAAACTATGACTGCATCAATACACAGTGGTAGGGCGCAATGCCAGAATAAGCAAATATTGTAGGGTGTTATAGAGGGTACAAGGCGGACAATAC